CAGTGCCTCGGGAAATGAAGATTTTGTATTACCAATATGTCCCCTACTTATACTGGTAGAGAAGATTCCTCACTGGGAGCATCCCTGAAATCTAGTAAAAATACACACACACACACACACACACACACACACACACACACACACACGCACACACGCAGACACACACACACACACACACACGTACGCACACACGTACGCACGCATGCACGCACCCACCCACACACCCGGGTTCTCTTTTGAAGCACCACTCCTGTTTCTTCCCTATACCTTTTGTCTCCCTGATATCCCAGATGCCTGGTTCCCATAGCCTTGTGGGTGTTGGGGACCTCATGGGGTCACAGGATCCAGAATGATTGTCTCAATTTGCCACATCCTACAGATTCCTCAGGGTTGGAGAAGGAAATTACTTTCTACCTACTAATGGAGTCCTTCTAGGTCCTTTTGCCACACTTGTCCAGGAGAGTTCTGTCTTCTAAAGGTTCTCCTAGCATATTCTGTGTTCTATGATATTCTGTGTTCGATGTGTTCTATGTTCAGCACTATCATTCTATGTCCTGTTCTAACATTCTGTGTTCAAAGGTCTCTGCCTGCTCTGATATTCCGTGCTCTAAAAGCTCCCTCCAAGAATGAATGTGCTGTACTCTCTGTTCTAAGGTCCTTTCTAGCACAAACATTCTCTACTGTCTTCTAACATCCTCTGTTCAAAAGTCCCATTCAGCACGAACAGTCTATGTTCTCTGTTCTAACATTCTGTGTTCGAAGATCCCTTCTAGCCCTGACATTCTATATTTCCTAATGCTCCCCTGATGGCCCCCCACCCGCCACATATTCCCTTAGCCCTGAAGCAGAGGGGGAGGAATTAGAAATCTGAGCCCAGCAGCTCTTGAGCCTCTGGCTGCGGTAGCAGCAGCAGGAGCTGCTTAAATGGGCACCATCTGTATCACTGTTGTCCCAGGAGCAGATGGACTGCTAAGGCCTTTGAGGGAAATGGGCATCTTTCATACTCTCCCACAGGCTTTAGACACACCTACGCATGTGTCAACATGTGGGTAGGCCCTCATGGGAATACACATACAGGTGTGTAATTTGCCATACTTGGGGGGCATTCCAGAGATTTTGGGCCTTGTGGGTGAAGACTGAGATTGAGCTGAAGGAAGACATTACCTCATCCCCCTAGGAAGGGTTTCATACTGGAAAAACATGTTTGATTTCTCTAAGAGTACACTGGCTTAGAAATAGATCAATGGCCTCATGGAGGCAGCACAACATCCTGCTATCAGCCTTGAACAGAACCTTAGTGGAATCAAGCCAGCCTCTGGATCTGTCTAATGTTGAGATGGAGACCTTCTAGGACTTTTAGTTCCATGGGAAAAATTATTTCCTAGCGGGACGATGGAAATTTTGGGGAAAATGGAAATTTCCCCAAGATGATTTCTTAGTGTCTTTTACTGAGCTAAAGTTGGAATGTGCATTATGAGTTTGTGTTCCAAAAGCTCACCTTGGCAAAAGGGATTATGTTTAGTGTTTTTATAGGTGAGAGGGCTCAGAAAAATAGTGGAAAGACTCATGGGGGGAATTTTTTCTTTTGTTTCCCTAGTTTTTTGGAAAATGCACTCCCAAAAGATTTTGCACCCTGAAGATTTTCCCAGCCTTTTCTGGATCTTCTGATTTTCATCTGGGTTTTTATAGCCTAGATTGTAGGCCAGTCTGTTGAAGTTTGTTGGTCATTCAAATGTCAAGTACCATAAGAAGTTTGACCCACCCTTGGATTGAATTGTAACCTTGGGCACTTCTCTCTGGGTCTCAGTTTCCCAATCTGTAAAAATGAGGCAGTTGAACTAGATGAGCTTAGATATCTTTTACCAAATCAAATCAACAAGTCTATAGTGAGCTGCGTGTCCTTACATGCTTTGGGGAAGCCTAGGAGAGTGAAAGATGTAGCCCTATACCAAAGAGATAACGTAATGATGATATATTTTATTGTTCTGGACCTATGTTTCTATTTCCACAGGGAACTCCTTGTTTGGTAACTTTTTCCGCTGGTGCTTATCAACAGATGTGTAACTTACAGTCTTAGGGAGATGTCTGGAGGCCCTGAGAGGTTAAACAATTTGCTTTTGGTCATGTACCCAGAATGTATCAGATGCAAGGCTTGAATCCAGGTCTTTCTGAGGCCAAGGCCAACCCTGTATCCACTCCACCTCACTGTTTCTTACTCACACTTACAGAGTGCTTTAAAGTCTACAAAGTGCTCTCTTCATATGTCGTTGTTGTTCAGCCATTTTTAGTCATATCCAACTCTTTGTGACCTCATTTGGGATTTTCTTGGCAGAGATACTGGAGTTTTACAGATGAGGAAACTGAGACAAATAGGGTTAAGTGACTTGCCCAGGGTCACAGAGCTAGCATCTGGGACCAGATTTGTACTTAGGAAGATGAGTCTTCCTGACTCCAGGCCCAATGCTCTATCTGCTGCTCACCTAACTGCTCCTTCCTCATATTCAGTAGATATTGTGTCATTAGTCCCATTTTACAGATGAGGAGAGATAAAGTAATGTACATGATCATATACCTAATATAGGGAAGAATCAGGATCTGAACTTGGATTTCTTGTTTCCAAGTCCAGTGTTGTTGTTGTTGTTTTCTAAACTACACCAAACGACCTCTCTCTACACATACGAAACCATCAGTGAGCAGACACTAGTGTGTGTGGTCAGATTACAAGTGCTCTAATTCAGAGGGAAGATATCTCATTCTGGTCTAAAGATTGCAGCGCTTTCTCCATTGGAAAAGTCTTCATGGAGGCTGAGCTGGCTCTTGAAAAGATGGAAAGGAAGACATCTCAGGTAGAGGGAGCAGAGATGTCAGAGGACACCTTCTACATCGGTCCTCTTCTGCTTATGCCCTCCTCCCCCAATGTTCATTTGGATTTATGTATATGGCATTTCCCCAAATAGATGCAAACTGCCCAAGGACAAGCCCTGCTGTGTTTGCATCTTTGCACCTCTGCATCCCGGGGCCTAGCACAGAGCCTAGCACACAGTGAGCACTTACTAAACGCTTGGTGATTGGATGATGATGGATTGATGAGTTCTTTGAGGTCATTTCCTGTGTCTTCCCTTTTAGCCCCCTCTTCATCTAGCCCTGGGCTGAACAAGAAACAGGAAGCATAGGTCAGGTCTCAGGAGCCCTCAAGAAGAAGGGAACAAATGAATGAATGAACATGGAGGGGTCGGGTACAGTGAAGAGACCAGCCGGCCTGGAAGGGGCAGAGGGTTGGTCTCTGGGGAAGAGATGGCGCGGATGGCCCGGATGGTGGTGCGATGGCCCGGATCAAAGGGGCCTGAAATTCCACACAGTGGGAGAGGCAGAGAAGAGCTGAGGGCCTCCTTCCTCCCCTCACCAGCTTGGCAGGTGTAGACCTTCTCAGTCCAGGCCCCTAAATGAGCAGAGGGGACACATGCTTCTCTTCCCCTCATCCCCTCTCAGCCAAGGGTTCAATTTTCAACCCACGTAGGGTCTCCCAGCCAGGACAATTTGGGGACTGGATCTGACCTAGCCTGTACCAACGTGGCCTTGCAGCACAGTGCGATAGTGAGGCTCAAACCTCTATTACCGAGCCGCCTGACACAATACCCAGAAAATAACATGTTATTCCTGCTGAAGCCTTGCTGCGCTCCATGCAGTTTTCACAGTAGGTGGAAGGCCTCTCTGTTATTTCCGCAGCATATATGTCTCCCTACAGGGAGGTAACTGTTTGCAGAGGGAGGCGATATTAAAAGAAGGAAGGGGATGGTCAGCAACCAGGCAGCCATCTTCTCTTTGGTGCCTGGAGGAGTGGCACAAGAAGAGAAGAGAAGAAACGCCTCCTTCCCTTCAGGGTCTCCCTGGTGTAGAACCCCAAAAGATGTTGTAGGGGATACAGTTTTGGGCATCAAGGGTGCTCCTTGAAGCTCAGCACCAAAGGATGGTGTGGTGAGGCAGAAAGAGTTCCTGCACCATATTCAGGAGACCTGGGTTCTATTGTCCACTCTTGTCATTAATTCTTTATGTGACATTGGACAAGTCACTCCCATCCCTGGCCCCAGATTCATCATCTATAAAGTGAGGATGTTGGATAAGGACCCTTCCAGTCCTGACATTCATAGGGTCATGGGACTGGAGATGGGAACCTTAGGGATCATCTAGTCCAACCTTCTCATTTTACAGATGAGGAAACTGAGACTGAGAGAAGTTAAAGGACTTGCACAAAGTCACCCAGTGAGTTGAAGGCAGAGTCAGGAATCAAACACAGGTCTTCTGATTCTGTCGAATATTCTTGCCATCATAGCATGCTGCCTTCCTACCACCATGTGTCTGTTGAAATTGTCTGAAGTACAAGGAACATAGATTCATGATATCAGAATATTAGAGCAGAAAGAGCCCCCAAAGACCATCTGACACCCCCACCCCGCCATGTTGTAGATAAACTTAAGAGCCAGAGAAGGTAAATGACGTGATCTGAGGTCCCTTCCAGCTCTGCCATTCTGTGCTCTACATGTTAAGAGCTAGTTCTCCATGTCCAGCTCTAGTATTCTGCCTGCTGAGGCACCTCCCAGCTCTGATCCTCTACGATTTTTAAAGATTCACATATACTGCATCAGTAAGCAGAACTAACAAAGGACCAGGACTTATTGATTCCTGATCTCTTTTGTACTTTCTGTTGGCCATGAGCATCTCTGGGCCTGAAGGGATGAGCAGGAAATAGTCATAACTCAAGGCAGCATCCCAGGCCCACGGGGGTAGTACTCTTGTACTAACTAGGACTAGAAGAACTCCAGGTGGATGCTAGGTCTTGGATCTGAGCCGGGATCCCTAAGACATGAAGACTTAAGCCCTAGAAGGGAAAGTAGGGTTGAATTAGATTGGTACACTATCCCCTTCTTCTCACCCACCCCATCAGGTCTTGCTTAGAGGTCCTTTTGACTCACTACTGATTGTTGCTTTTCTTTGTGTTTCAGGGGAATGACCAGATCCGGTTTGAGCTCACCTGCTACTCCTTGGCCCCTCAGATTAAGGTGAGTCATCTGGTGCCCAAGACCCTTTGGGGTGTTGGTGGTATCAAGGGTCCTGAAAGGCAGGGCATGTGGACCCTGGGAGACCTCACTAGCAGCAGATATCTTAGTGTGTGTAGGATGCCTTGTAAACTTTAGGTTTCTGTATAAATGTTTGCCCTTGTTATTATCATTGTAGGCATAGAGATACAGTGTGCTTTAGTGGCTAGGGAGCTGCCAGCCTCAGAGTCAGGAAGACCTAGGTTCATGTCCCACTTCTGTCCATATGACCTTGGGCAAGTCACTTAACTTCTCGATGTTCACCCTAAATCCTCAAATACTCTAAGTTGCAAAACATTTGCTGCTCAGCCTTGATGGGGAAGGTATTTCCTGACTGGGAATTTCTAGAACTGAAAAATAAAATAAATTGAAACAGGCATAGATTTTATGGCACTCGGCCTGCGTCACAAAATTTACCCCTGCAACAGGCAGGAGCCCATCTTCACATCACCATCTCTTCCAGGCAAGTGAGTCTGGACTCCCACTGGAGTTAAGGATGGTTGAGATGCCAGTCCTCTGTTCTCTTTTCAAACTCCTTGGCTTATGTCATCTGTCCTAATGACAGTGGTGGAGATGATGGGAGGGTTGTATAGACTTTCTCCTCCAATCCCTTTCCTGTGGAGGTACACCCAAACCTCCGCACTGACACCAACTTCCACTGCTAATACTGACTGCCAACCAAGGAAGAGATAAGTGAGGAAATACCAATATCTCATGGCATCAATGATTCTAGTCTTTCTGGAGGTCAGAGGTGACTGAGTAGAGAGGTGAGGGGATTGTATTTCTCTGTTTGCTCCAGGGATAAAAAATGAACTGGGCTACTTCTCAGTCTCCCCAACTTTTCTTTCAAAGATCTCAGGTCCATGATAAACTCACCTGACCCTCAACTCCCCCATAAACTGCTACACTCACCCAATCCCTGGCTTCAATTTCCTTATCTGCAATGTATAGATAATAAGAGCGCCACTTCCCAGGGCTGTTGTGAGGATCAGTGAGGTAATACTGATAGAGTGCTTTGCAAACCTTAAAGCACTATCTAAATGCTAGCTATTATTACCTATTATTATTAGCAAAGGGGGGGTAGGTATATAATAGTGAATGGAGGGATTCTTTCTATCACAATCCCACTCTGATGCCTTTTTGTCCTTGTTAATGTTTAATCTTGTTGTCAGTGACTTGGAAGAAAGCATAGATGGAATACTTACATTGACGGATGTTGACAGATGACACTAGGCTAGGAGGGATAGTTAACACTTTGGATGACAGTCAAGCTCTATAAGGATCTCAGTTCCCTAGAATGATGGGCTAACTCGTATAAGATGAAATCTAATAGTGATATATTGCATATTTATACACCTGCATGTTTATGTATAACATATACAATGCACATACATATTCTATGTAATGTATATATCAATACGGGTTCCAAAATTAACTTCAAAAATCAAGGCTGGGGGACATGTAGCATCTCATGGAAAAAAGATTCAAGGTGGGGAAGGGTTGGTAGACGCAAATTCAAAATGAGTCTGTGGTGTGCCATGGAAGCCAGAGAAGTAGATGAGATTCAAGGCTACTTTATGGGAAGTCAATCCAGAATGAAGGAGGAGACAGTTCTGGCAGCCTCTGCCCTGATCAGACCACACCCAGAGCACCACATTCTAAGAATGTTTACTAACTTGAGGGGGTCCAGAGGACTTGGGGAGGAGGCACAAGATCATGATGTGGGGTTCAGTTGAAGGAACTGGAAGTGTTCAGCCAGAAGAGAAGGTTGAGGGGAAACTTGATGGGCTTCTTTCTGGTACTGGAAAGGGTATTCTGTGCAAAAGGGATTAGACCTATTCTGCTTGGCCCCAGAGGGCAGTATTAGGAATGAAGGGCAGAAGAAAGTCGCAGAGAGGCAGCTTGTGGTTAATTGTAAGGACCGACTTCCAAACACTCAGAGCTATTCAAAAGTGGACCCGGGTTTCACACCCCATGAGATAGTAAGGTCTCCATCTCTGGAGTATCTCATAGAAAGAGATTCTATCAGGGTTGGCGGAGTGTGTGGAAGTCAACTTTCACAAACCAGCTTTCTTGATATTGACAGCATTTGCCTTTCAGGAGGTTTATGAGTGAAGAGGGCCTAACTGAGCCCTCCTTTGAACCTAGGAGGCTTTGTCCTGGAGTAATGACAGCGCTGGTCGAGCTGCCCAGTAACTCCAATGCCCCAGTAAAACAAACCCATGCACAAACATGGCTGCCAGGAGTGATAGCTTCTCTGGGGTGGTGTTCCCATTCCCACTCTTCCTAACCCTGTGGCACCCAGAGCCTACAACTGCTGGTCTAAGCCCTTGATTAGATCTCTTGTCCCGCCATCTAGGGTACCAGGGCAGTACTGGCAGACACTGGTAGATCTCCTGATCTAGCTCCTGTTTTCTCCCATCACTGGAGTCTGATTCCCATCTTTCTTCCAGGTCATAGCTCCCTGGAGGATGCCTGAATTCTACAATAGGTTCAAAGGACGCAACGACCTGATGGAGTATGCCAAGGTATGGTGCTTTGGCTCTTGGCCTTGACCTTCCTTCTGCTCCTTGTCCCTTGTACTCCCTTAAATTACAGCCTTTCCTAAATAGCCACCTCCAGGTGGCTTCCCCATCTGAATCAGAGTAAGAATGGGGAGGGGGGAATGTTGCTTTGGATCCTGCTAAGAGCCATCATTCCCCTGCGAGGGCCTCAGAGTCCACAGCCTCTTGATTCCCATGAGTTGGGGGATCAGACTCACCCCCCACCCCCACCCCCTGTCATGTGGCAGCTCTCCCACTGGGCCAGCTCCACAGATGTACTCTGAACGGGCTCTGGCCCTTTGTCTATTTCCCACTTCTCAGCAGGCCTTGTTGCAGAAAGCCAAAAGGGTGCTCTTCCTAATCTTTCTCTTGTTCCTGGGGGAATGACGGCTCAGCACCGTGTGTGCCGTCTCAGCAGTGTTGTTGGGGGTGGGAGGGAACTTGGGGGGTGAGAATGCTTTCTGCAAAGGGCCGTAATTACCTAGAATTTAATTGTCAGCCGCTTTTTCCAAGGGAACAGGTAGTGGCTCAAAGGGGCAATGTCAGACAAAGGCAAAAAACACTGTGCCTTTGTCGTCCTTCCCTTTTGAAGTACAAGTTGCAATAAAACATATTAAAAGTTTTGCATCAGGATCCTTAGCCGCTCTCCAGGGTACCTTTCTTTTTAGCAACTTGATGGCAGCGCTTGACAAACAGCTTCAATCAATCAGAGAGGAAAAAAAGCTACATGGTGCATAGACCAGAAAATTGCTTCAGTTTTTAAATAGCAGTCAGAAACCCAGGCTGTGAAATATTCCTGCAGCCAAGGTGCTGAGTCGGAGGGGATGCTCTGCGTGGAGTTGCTGCTACCGCCCTGCCGGCAGCATCCCATTAAGACCTGGAGAGCCGTGTGCGAAGGATCGTCTCCACCATCTGTTGTTTTATCATTAAGAGGGGAGTTTACAAGAGCAATCCCATATGTTGCCAAACAAACTGTCAAATAGCAGAGTTATCAAGAGAGCCCAGGTTTTGTGTATGTGTGTGTATGTGTGTGTGTGTGTGTGGTTGTGTGTGTGTGTGTGTGTGTGTATTTCCCCCTGGCTTCTCAGGGATATAGAAAAGGAAACCTGTGCCTTTCTTTAAGAAAAACAGACTGGACACCCCCAGGTCTCATGTAAAAGGAGGGCTTGGGTCTGTCCAAGTTTTTTCCTTTTAAGCCCCAAACATTTCTGATTCTCTCAATGGAGACCAATCTAAGAAGAGTTGTCTTCCCTCCTCAGGTTTGGAGAGGAAAGAGAACTCTCTGCAGCAAGGTGTTTACCTTAGTATTTTTCCTAAATGCCATTTTAAAATGAGGAAATGGAGGCATTCATCAGGAGAACTACAATCTCTCTCACCAAATAGAGAAGCGGAGAGTCATAACTGAGCCCAAAGGGAAATCATAGGGAGTGATTCAGCGCTTCCTGGAGGGTTGGAAACTAGCGTCCAAGAAGCCACCAGTGAAATTGACCAGCATAGACTCATTGTCCAGACCCAGTGCTCAGCATGCAATAGACATCAGCAAGGAAGAAAATCAATGGGGCTTTTAAAATTCTCATCTTTCAGGGCTCATAAATAACCAAAGTCCAAAGGTGATATTTGAGACTTGTAAAACAAAACAAAACAGAACATTTGCTTCCTCTATCCAAAAATCCATCATCTACTTCCCAGGGGGAAAAACACTTATATATTTATATATGTGTAAGTATATATTTTTGCTACTGTCTCTAAAACTAAAAAACAAAACAAAATGACTCAAAAAAATTTAAGGTAGTCAGAAAACAACTACAATTCTAATTCTCTTGCCTTATTGCCCAGGTTTGATTTGGGCAGGGGGGTGAGGGGAATTATAGAACTGTGGGTTACAGGGGAGAACAATTTTGGTCTTAGTGTTTAGTATTTTCATTTTATCCTATCCACTCCCCTGGAACCTGCCAAAACAAGTCCCTGCTTCCTTCCTCCTTATTACATTGAAACAAACATTTCGTGTTTCAATGTTGGTGCAGACATTTTGCGCTAACCTCCTTTTGTGCCCAGTACCGGAGACCTTTGGTCTGGGAAAAAGTAGGAGGGAAAGAGTTGGAGAAATTAGCTTTTAAGAAACAACATCTCAATTTCTGCAGCACTTAAAAATTTATTGCTCTCTTTTGTTTTGAAATTCACCTCCTGGATTTCCTAAAATGTGAACTACTCCCCTCTCCCCTTCTCAGAGAGCTATCCTTTATAACAAAGAATAAAAAAGAGAAAACCAACACATTGGCAGTACTAACCAAAACATCAGCTAGGTCTGACATCATGTGCAGTGTTTTATACCCATACCACCTCTGCAAAGAAGAAAGGGATGTTCTTCACTTCTTCAGAAGAAAGGGATCTTCTTTATTTTGAAACAACCTTAAAAATGTTCGCTACCCCAGGCTAAATAGCAATCTGCCAGCTAGGGACAGTAGTAGAAAATACTCTTTGGCCTGTACTTCTCAAGGGGCAGGTGTACTGCCAAGTAGTATATACTCTTGTTTGCCTGTATAGCTTACATCGGTCAATCGACTAGCATTTATTGAGTACCTACTGTGTGTCGGGGGTTATACTGAACACTGGGAATACAAAGATGAAAATGAAATAATCCTTGCCTTCAAAGAACTACAGTCTATGTCGGGAGAACATATGTAGTTTCATACAAAATAGATAGAAGGTAGTTTGGGGAGGATAGTACTAAAAGCTGTGGGGATCAGGAAAGCCTTTGTGTAAAAGGAGGCACTTGAAACTGAACCTTGAAGAAGACTAAGGAGTCTAAGAGGTGGAAGGGAAGAATGAGTGCATTCCAGGCAGGAGTTAAAGTCAGTTCAAAAGTCCAGAGATGAGAGATGGAGCATCATGCGGGAGACATAGTAAGAAGGCTGGTTTAGTCAGATAATAATATATATGAGGGGAAGGAATATGTACATAAGAAATATTTAAAAGCCAACTTTATTTCTATTCTGCTGTATGTTCTTTTTTAAAGTGAATTCTCTAATCTTTTCAAAATGTAAAAACAAGGAAGAGTTTAGTTCATTTAAAAACTTTAAAAATTTCCTCTAGTTCCATAAGTACAAATTTTCTTAGGTTTGGGAAGAGGAGAGTGAATGATGAAAACTTGTCATGGTTATATATACACCCAGCATGGTGCCCTCTTGAATGGGACTTGGAAGACCTGAGTTTTGAGTCCTGGCTCTTGGGTAAGCTATTTGCCTTCTCAGAAACTCAGTTTCCCTATGTGTAGACATTTCATAGGTTGTATTGTAATGATGTATCTTTAGTAACCTCCACTATAGTCCTCATTTAATAAGAGTGTGGGGGTGACCCTGGGCTCTTAAAGGCTGTTTCTCCAGCAGCTACTTCCAAGTTGCAAAGGTTCTGAGTATAGGGATGGTTTGTTTTACGTTGATCACAAAAAAATCCCAGCTAGGTTTAGAAAGGCTCATCACCACATTTTGGCCACAAAATGATGAATTTTTTTAGCCTTAGCAATTCATTAAGATGATTTCCTAAGGCATGAAGGTGTTGAGGTCTTTGTGTATAGAGTTGGTACCCACATCAGAATCCTGAAGTGATGGATTCTGGGCATGGTATTACTGCACCTAGTGTCTAAACTGTGACTATATCATTAGATGTACAAAGGAGTATCACTTTCCCCTCTTCAAAAGAATTCCCATAGGATCATAGATTTAGAACTTCTAAGAAAACTCAAAAACTCTCTAGACTAATCCCCTTATTTTACAGATGAAGAAATATGACCTAAGGAGCTTGCCCAGGGTCACATAGCTAGTACATATTAGAGCTAGTATTCAAAACCAGGTCCTCCAACACACTTATGTCACACTCTGTTCCAAGGAGGCTGCCATATCTCCGAACAGTCTCTCAGGGTGTTGTCTCCATGGCCTGCAGCCTGTTCTTCTGAATGTTCTCAGTGATGGGAAATCTCTGCCCTTTTAAGGGTGAACTTGATTTTGGGAAACAACCCAAAGCAATTTGGAGCCAAGTGTGGGGAAGTGTTGAGTGATCGAGGCTGGGTCATAGTCTTGGACTTGATGGAGAGCGAGGGCCCTTCTAACTCCGACATTCTGTGATTCTGGTTAGCACATCTAATTCCCCAAAGCGTTTCCATGTGCGGTCCCAGCATGAATAAATGTTTGGCCTCCCCAGGGAACAGCTTGAATGAGAAGGAGGCTTATTTGGATGTGTAACTTCTTGTTTATCTTTCAATCAGCCTCATCTCTCGTGTCATATCTAGTATGAGTCTTGATATCGTGAGGACCACTCAGATATGTTCTGCAGAAACAAGGTGCTTAAAACACGTTTGTAGAATGTTATATACATGTGACCAGCTAAAGATTAAGTGGCTTAGTGTAGTGCCTGGAACATAGTAGGAGCTTAAATGCTTATCGACTGACTGACTAGTGCACATGCAACTCCAGAGTGCTGGAATTTGAATCTGGAAGACTTGGGATCAGATCCCAGCTCTAAGGCTTGATAGCTTTTGTGATCATAGGCAAAACACATAACTCTTCTGATCCTCATTTTCTTCATCTGTCAGATGGGCTACTATAGCATTTGTATCTCCTACTTCAAAGGGTTGTTGTGAAACTCCAATGAGATATTATATGTAAAGCACTTTGTAAACTTTAAAGTGCCATTGATCATCATTCTTATTATGTTTTAGCATATATTTTGCATATAAATAGGTTCACATCCAATCCTTGCAAAGGACTCTGTGCCATCTGGGTGATTTGGGATGGGTGTGTGTGTGTGTGTGTGTGTGTGTGAAGAGAAAAGTTTGGGAAGGAGTCAATGAGGCTGCTCTTAGTGGGGGAGGGGAGAGGAGGGGAGTGGAGCAAGCCGAGAGCAGAGAGCATTACCTCGGGGCTCACCCTGTGCTCATGATTACAGCCCATTCAGGATAAACAAAGGGGAGCATTAATTGGCTAACCAGCTCTTGAAAGCTAATGGAGCGAGCAAGCAAGCGTGGTGTGGCTGCCAGAGTGTGAACAGGGTCCTCTCTGTCAAGTCCGAGCAGAAGCTTCCTGACCCAGGGGCTGAGAGACAGAAAGAGACAGAGAGGGAGTGGGAGGTAGAGAGAAAGAGAGAAGAGAGAGAGAGAGAGAGAGAGAGAGAGAGAGAGAGAGAGAGAGAGAGAGAGAGAGAGAGAGAGAAGAAAGAACCAGAGCAGAAAGACAGGAGAGGAAAGAGATGGAGAAGAAAAAAAGAGAAGGGAAAAGATCAAGGAGAGATGGAGAAGGAGAGGGAGGGAAAAGGAGAGAGGATGTGTCTATACTTGTGTGGGCATGTTTGAGGATCAGTGAAATGTGGATGTGACTTTTATGGAAACCTTTGAGTGGGAGCATGAAGGAAGTTGAGCCATCATTTCAGAAATTGAGGTTGGGCCAAAAGGGGAGGTCAGCAGGTTTGTAGGACGCCTTGGAGGTGAAGGGGTGAAGGGGATAAAGCTGTTGCTTCAGGAGCATTCTAATTGACAATGGACTTAGGGCTATCTTGTGCAGTAGCTTTGCCCAGTGGGAAGAAGACTGATTCAGAGTCAAGAAGCCTACATTCCAGTCCTTGTCCACTAAATCTTTGTGTGGCTTTGGGCAAATCATTTTCCCTCTCTGAGCATCAGTTTCCTCATGAGGGAAAGTAAATGAAATCTAAGGTCCTTAGCATTCCACAGTGCCTTCTCCAATGTTCTGTGAAGGAAAGGCACTGCCCCAGCCATCCCATGTGGCTCTGGCTCATCTCCTGTCCATCCCCCAAATTTCGTCCTATATTCACTAGGTTCTCAGGCAAAAATAACTCTCAGACTTGGTGGTGGTACCTGTTCTACTCATTGTACATTTAATTTGAAAAAAATTAAAAGTAATTCTTTCTGGAGACCTGGTTTAAAGCAAACCAAGGACGATCCAGTTCTTCAGAGACTGGCATCTGAATCAGACAGGATGATATAAGGAAAAGAACATTGGAGTCGGGGAACCTTGGTTCAGGTTGCGGCTCTGCTCCCTATGTGACCTTGGACAAGTCACCTAACCTCTGTAGGACTCAGTTTCCTCATCTATAAAATGAAGGGATTGGGCTAGATGCCTTTAAGATCCCTTCTAACTCTTTAAGTCACTTCCCTTCTTTGAACCCCAGTTTCCCTATCTGTAAAATGGAGATAATTATATCATGTGACCTAATGTACAGAGTTGTTTTGAAGAATATTTTTGTAAACTGATGTGATACAGTGGGAAGAATACTGACCTGGAGTTGGGAAACCCGGGTTCAAATCCCTCCTATGACGCTTACTGTGTGGTTTTGGGTAAGTCACTTTAAGTTCCCTGGGCCTCAGCTTCTTCATCTGTAAAATGAGAAGATTGGACTAGAAGATCCCTGAGGCATTTTCCATCTCTAAGTGTATGATCCTCTAGTGTATTAGTTATAATGATTAATCATCATCATCATCATCATCATCATCATCATCATCATCATCACAGCCTGACCTCTTCCAAATGGCTTCATAATCAAAGCAGAGTTTTTTCCTAGCCATGTCCGAAGCCATTGAGGCAGCCAAGGGGAGTTTGGGAAGGCATGGGTCACGTTTTCCTTCGCTGCTTTGATACTTGCCCAGTACTCAAGATGTATCTATTTTTCCCAATTACTCAGGGCCCCTGAATCCATCCTGTCATGTCATAATGTCACAACTTGTAGTGTGATTAAATAACTAAGTTCAACCATGACCTTAGAATGAGAGTCATAGAAAGCTTGGAAGGAGCCCCAGAAATCATCTAGTCTAATGTCATTCTATAGAGGATGAGACTGAGACCCAAAGGTAACACTTCTGGGAGGAGAGGTGGATGTCTTCATGTAGTGGAAGATCTATCCCAAAGAAGAATTAGTCTTGTTCTGCTCGGTCCCCGAGGGCAGTGAGTGGTCCCAGGAGTAATGAATGGACAGAAATTACAGGAAGGCTCCAAGCAGAGGTTAAATGATGATGCCTTGTCAGGGGTGCTGTTAAAGGGGTTGCTACTGCTCAGGTAGAGTTTGAACAGGGAGACCTCTGAGGTTCCTTCCTGTTCAGACTCTATGCTGTTTTGGCATGTACCTTGCTCAATTTCTAGCCTTGTTGGATTGCATTACATTGACAGCAAATCCACCTTGCAGGTTTCCTGACTCATAATCAAGTGCCTTTTTCACTGCTCAGGTCTATATTTGTTGATTCAGGGTGAAAAAGGACACAGAAAAAGGACCAGAGTGGGCTATGCATGACTAGGGAGGCAGTAGAGATGATTGGTTAAATTCAGGAGTCTAATTCAACAAGCATTTATTAAGCACCCTTTTTGTGCAAGGTGAAAGGAGTGTCCACACTATGAGTCCTCTATACCAGTGAAATCAGATGTCTAGACCAGTGCCCATATCCTAGGCACTGGGGATAAAAAGGTAAAGGGAAAACAATGCCCCCCCGAAACTCCCATTGTACTGAAATGTTGGTGAAGAGCAGATGCCATCACTGATTCCAGAAATATTAGGGGATGGGAAGAAAATGTCTAAGAGTAGCAAAGCCAACTGGAGAGATGATTGATATTTTCCCACTGATCCTGTTTTGGGCTTCAGACTCTCTGCTTGAGTAGTTCAGGGAGGAAGATCTTTGAAACCTCCTCTTTCCAAACCTTTCATGGTATCTTCCTTTCCCAGTCAGTCCCTTTCAGCAGCTAGGTGGCACAGTGGGTGCTGAGCCTAGAATCTAGAGGACTCAAGTTCAAATCCTGCCTCTGACACTTACAGTGCTTACCTCCCAGGGTAGTATAAAGCACTTTATAAGCCTTAAGGAACTATCTCAATAACATCTCTTATTCTTTATCTGTATCCCTTGTATTTCTGTTCTCTTAATGGCCTTTCAGTCCACGTGGAGAATGTGGAATCCCAAAAGCTTAGAGCTGGGAAGGACCTCAGATATTATCAAGTCCAAGTTCAAATTTTACATTTTGGAAAACTGAGGTCTAAGACTGGGGAAAAGACTTGTGTTGGGTCAGCCAGGTAGTTAGCCAACATCTTCTGATGAAGGCCTCCTGACTGCAGATCCCCTCTTTCCACTAGCCATGGAGTCTCCCACCCAATGTGGGAAACCGCTCTGCAGCATCTCCAATGTATCATCTTGGTGAGAACACTCTTCTAGTGGCATCTCAAGAGGGAGAGCCAGGAGAAGTGTAGCCCTGATCTTCGGTGCTAGTTGTCCTTACGTAGGGCAGGTGTAGGTCAGTCTTCTGACTTAGAGTCTTATACAGTTGGGCCAGGGGTGCCTGTTGACTTGGATATATGACAACTGGTGATATTGTGATATTGCCACACTGGTTTCATCAAGCAGTCATGTTTGGGTCTTGTGTTTCCTTCCACAGCAACATGGGATCCCAGTTCCAGTCACCCCCAAGAACCCATGGAGCATGGATGAGAACCTTATGCACATCAGGTAGGAGGAAAGACCCTCGTGGAGAAGGATGATTTGGAAATCTAGTCTTGAGGTTCCATAGTCAATGGACATCCTCCATTGAGAGGGGACAGGTCAAAGGCATCCCCAGAGCAGGATATGCACTGAGTATAACTGTCTCCCAGCTTTCATAGAAAACCCACATTCTGCATCCTGCCTGCCTAGAGATACCTGCTAGCTCATTTCCTAGTCCTAGGGCCAATTCAAGCCCAGGCTATGGCAGACCCAAACGATGTCCCAAGCTAGGCTGGCAACTGTCATCAAAATGAGAGCTCTGCCCAAGGGCAGAGGGGCAGATTGGGCCTCTTTCTTCTGATTTCTTGGGGGAAAATGTTCCCTCCCTTGTGACTTTCTTCTCTCTGGTTTTGTCTCCTCCTTCTCCTGCAGCTACGAGGCCGGAATTCTGGAGAACCCCAAGGTAATTTATCATTTCCTTTGCGCTGTCCGTCTTTGGGGGCCGCTCTCCAGCCGATGCTGTGATGTATTTGTAGCCTAATTTGAAATTTCACAGGGGGCTGGGTGTGGGGCTGGGGCCAGGCCCTGCCTGTGTTCCTCACCCCTCCCCACCTCCCCCTCTCTGGGATGGGTTTGAAGGTCTCCTTCTCTCTCTCTCTTTTTTTCTAATTGCTGCCGGGATGAATAGGGGAAGGAATTATTTCAGGGCAACACAGAAGGAAAAAATGTCATCGTGAGACAATAAAGAGGCAATTAGACAGATGAGACACTTGTGGGGAGCGGGGGAGTCCTGGGCCCACCAGCTTTCAGGGCAGGTCTGGAGTGATTGTATGAGGGGCCAGCGGGGGAGGTGTTGGGGGGTAGCGCCTTGGGCTCATTTATCTGAGTCTTCTTCCAACACCAAGCTGATGGCCCGCTGCCCTCTCTTCCGAGCTCTCAGCCTGGGATCTCTCTGCTCGCTCAGCCCTGTTTGAAGCTGAGGATTTCTCTCCCCGGGGTGTTTCTCTTTTTGTCTGCCCTCTCCCCACCCCACCCCCATTCTCCCTGCCCCAATGTTGGGGGCGGTGTGTGTAGGACTTAGGGTGGGAAGGAGATAGATTTATCATGGGAATAGAAGCTTCCTTTGTCCTCAGGCCCTCCTCTGGCACCTTCTGGCCAAGGGTGTCTGTATTCCACTGCTCTGCATGACACCTCAGGCTTTTTGGGAGAGGCTTGTTGAAAGAAGCATCTGGGGACAGCTGCCAGGAAGGCCACCAGGACTGAAAGTCTAAAAAGGCCAGTGGGGCATAGGCCCAGCACTCTGGGAGTTTGCTCTGACCAGGTTTCTGGACTTTGAAGGTGGTTTGTGGTTTTTTATTCTTCAGTTGTTTCCGTTGTGTCTGACTCTTCATGACCCCATTTGGGATTTTCTCGGCAGAGATACTCAATTTCCTTCTTCAGCTCATTTTACAGATGATGAAAGTGAGGCAAGCAGGGTTAAGTGACTTGCCCAGGATCACACAGCTAGTAAGTGTCTGAGGCCAGATTTGAACTCAGAAAGATGAGTCTTCCTGACTCCAGGCCTGGTGCTCTATCTACTTCGCCACCTAGCTGGTTTGTGGTAGTGCTTCCCAAAGGGCTATGGGGGGCTTGATCCAAGCCTGGTGGTATAAACATCAACTAGACTGAATTCACTTGACCTTTAGGGTAGTGAACAGTTCTTTCCCAAGTAGCATCTGGCCTGCTTGATGGTATCTGCACCACTTCCCTTCCCAAGAATGGGGCAGACCTGCAAGTCATGGCAGGAGGGGAAGAGAAAGGAAGAAAATAAGCATTGACGTGCCACCTATGATGTGCCAAGCACTGAGCTAAGTACTTTTACAAATGTTATCTCATTTGATGCCCACCACAACCCTAGGAGGTAGGTGCTATTATTGTCCCTATTTTATAGTTAAGAAAACTGTGGAAAATAGAGGTTAAGTGACTTGCCTAGGGTTGCACTGCTGGTGAGCGCCTGAGGCCAGAGTTTAACTGAGGGCTTCCTGACTCCAGGCCCAGGCTTCTAATCCATTGTATCACCAGCTACTCCCAGGAGCACTTGGATGAGGGCAGGAGGGCTGGGAAGTAAAACTGGGACGCTTCAAGGAGGGAAACGTTTTCAGGACCAGGCTTTCCCGCCCATGGAGTACATTCCACCAACTGGCCTCAGTACAGAGATTCTACACAATGGGTGGATGCTAAGATAAAGCCTTTGTGGTCTGATCTGTGGAAATGGGATGTATCCCTCAGCCTCCATATAGACATTCCCTTGTGAACCTTCTGTGTGTTCCCATAGCTCTTTTCATGTGGCTGCTTTGTGGGCAGCTCCCCTGAGCAGCCCCTGGTTGATGCCCTGACCTCCTTCCCTTCCCCCATTCCCATCCCTACCTCCCACTCTGGAATCGAGGTACGTAGCTCATTAGTGGTGAGCCCACCCTCCCTGGAGCCTAATCAGGCCGCATGGTACTGCTGCCTGCTGGCCTGAGTATTTCCAGTTCATGCTCTGTTGGCCCCACGACACTTAGGCAGGCCACCGCTAATTATTTAGTCAGTCAAGGGGAAGGCAGGGAGGCCAGAGGGGTGTAGGCCTGCCAAAGGGTGAGTGGAGAAGGGAAACACAGGAAGAGGAGAGAAGAGGGGGAAGAAAGGGAAACTGCATCATAGAATTGTTATAATTTGGTAATAATCTGTGGAGACAGACCCAGATAGGCCTAGGTAACTGAGGGGGAATTTGTCCCTGAGAAAAATGGGGGGGGGTACATTTGCAGATAAATTCTGAACCCTTGACTGTGAGCCCTTTCTCTTCTCATGCCTCCCTTACCTTTGGTGCAGGCTACAGGAAAAGAGAGGGATTTAGAGAGAGAGAAGGGACTTCAGAGTTGATCTAATCCAATCTCTTCCTTTTAATGAATGAGGAAACTGAGACCTAGGGTAGTTAAAGTGACTTACCTAAGGTCACATAGATAGTAACAACTAGGGTTTGAATCCAGGTCCTCAAACTCCCAAATCTCACCACAGTCTCTCCCAGCCTCAGTTTCCCTATATATAAAATAGGGGAATTGGCTCCTCTCTTTCAGTTCTAACATTCTGTAATTCTCTCTTGGAGGGCTGGATAAAGGCCTCTTCACGATAACTCCCGTTTCCCCTTGGGAGTAGACAGTAAATCCAATCTGGGGAATCCTGGTGAAAACAGTATCTCCTATCCCATCCCTATGGGCGTTTCTTGCTTAGAAGTATCAGGAAGATACTGCCTGGAGAGGGCAACAGGAGGGGATTAGGTGTGGATCAGGACAAGGCACATCTGTGACTTTGCTTAGGACCCCTCCCCCCAAGGAAATGTGTGAGTTCTTTTGCTTATGCCTGGATAGCAGTACCCCCACCTAGTACAGGGGAACAAGGGGGTGAATATGGAAGCACTAGGGGCCAGGCTGAGAGGTGACCCAGTATTCTGGCAAGGGGGCTGTAGTCTCTGAGACCATAACGCTAGCAAGCCCTGGTTCCCTGGCTGTGTTGGAGGAAAGTGGGCCCTCCATAGGCCCTCACACACAGAGCCTTTCCCGGCTTCTGACAGCATTCTGCCTTTGTGGCAGCCTGGAGAAAGGCATTGGTGGGGGCCGCACGGCCCAGGGCCTCTTCCCTTTGGGGGACCCCAGCATCCCTTGCTAAGCTGGCCACCAAAGCGGGGCTTATGGAAAGGGAGCTGAGGGGTAACTGCTCTCTATTCCCCCCACCCCCCAAAAGCCCTGAGATCTGCCAAAGGGAGGATTTGAAGGCAGATGGTTGAGCCATTTTCTGCCTCTGTGAGGGCTGATTGAAGAGCAATGAGGCATCTAATGCGGAGAAAGATAGAAATTTACTTGCCTTAACTTCATATGGCACACACTGAAAGAGTTCATTCAGTCCCCGGGCACAACAATGTCTGATGGATGAATAAACCATTTGCAGCATCGATCATAGCCCTACATCATGGTTTACTTCATGGGCCATTTGCTTCCAATTTCTTCTTCTCTCGGCCTGTTTCGTGCTTTCTTTCTCTCTCTCTCCTCTCTCTTTTTTTCCACACTTTCTTCCCTTCACCCCCCTCCCAAAAAAGATGACATTGCAGGACTTGCCCCCCTACTGGGATGGATAAATAGATGGCATTGATACCCTGCAACAAACTATTTGTCATTTGAACTGGACTTTTAGAAAGGAGAGTAAAAGAGACCAAAACATACTCACTCACTCACACACACACACACACACACACACACACACACACACACACACACACACACACGACTGTGGCAGAACTCAAGGCAAATGGCATTTTATTCCTATTTAGTTATTTTATTTAATAGGGGCTTTCAGACTCAGGTTAGGAAATTGGAAGCTGCCTGATGCTGACTTTCAATGTTTAGTAAAGAGTTTGTAATCCTTGGTATCCTCCCTCTTCTCTGCAGCCCTGAGCCCCCCTCCTCTCTCTTTTTGCATGCAAAGTTTTTCATTATCTTGAACATTTTTCTCTGCTGAGTTAGTAAGTATGATCAGGGAGGCCAGGGCACACAAAACTGAAATCTACGGGTCACACAGTTTGTGTGTGCACGGCATCGAGTGTTTGGGGATGCGCTGGTTAAAGGGAGGGAGAAGGATGGACCGGAAGCTGTGGCAGATCAGGCTAAAATTGTGTTGCTGTAGCTCCAAGGAGCTACCTGTCTTGGGGGTGGGGAGGGGAAACTGGTGGAAGGTGGGCTGCTGCGCTATGTTCTTGTTTGCTGAGAAGAATGAATGTGAGCACAGAGAATGGCCTAGGCAGCACCCCACCCTCCATGAAAAGGTCATCGAGACCCTCCACTGCTCCCTCACTCCTACTGAGAGTTTTTGCAGGTGGCCTATGAGAAACTAGCTTGCTGGTTGGTCCTTGCCGTTGCTGGGCTTACGAACAGGCAAGGTGGGTAGTCACCTAGGATGCAAATGCAGAGGGAGCATGATATGGAATGCTCCTCAACGTGGCTTTGTGACGGAGCTAGCCAGTGCCCCTCTCCTTGACCCAAGAGGAATTATTTTGTGGTGCCAGATTGTATGGGTTATGTGGGAAAGGCTTAATGTTTCCAGTGGACACACAGGGGCTACACTTTTTAGACTATGCCCAGGCCTGGTTGTGATGGGAGGAACTTTGGGTATGGAATCCTGGCTTTGTTCTTTACTACCTACATGGCTTTGGACAACTAATTTAGCCTCTCTGGGCATCAAATGGATTGGGCAGCATGATCTCTAAGGTCCCCAACTACCCTAAATACTACAATTCTAGGCAATGGGGTTAAGTGACTTGCCCAGGGTCACACAGCTAGTAAGTGTCAAGTGTCTGAGGCCAGATTTGAACTCAGGTCCTCCTGACTCCAGGGCCGGCGCTCCATCCACTGCACCACCTAGCTGCCCCAATACTACAATTCTTATTGTGTAGCTTCCCTTTCTCTCTCATGGCCTCTCTCTGGCCCTCATTATTATCACCATCAAACTCTCCCCTGCTATGTGAGTGAGGGCTATGAGGCTGTCGGCTGCATGGGAAACTAATGAGAGATGGGGAAAGAAAGAATGTTGCAAAAGCCAAATCCATTTTCTTGGCTTCTGTCCTTTGTAGATACCTTGGGATATGCCCTCAGTAAGACGGGAATGGAGAGAGACACAAGGTTGTATGAAGATAGATTCAGAGTTGGGAAGCAGGTCAGCTAGCCCAATCCCCTCATTTTACATATGAGGAAACTGAGGCTCAGAGGTGAAGAGACTTGCTGAAGATCACATAGGCAATAAACAGTAAGAGCCAGGATGTGTCCTCTGACTGCATCCATCACTCTTCCCCTATCCCCTGCTCTAGCATTAGAACTCAGGGAAAGAGAAAGGGAGTCTATGGAGTGCAGGAGTCTCCACCAGCGGTCATTGGCCTCACCCTGTTTCCTTGCTCAGCTCTGTAGAGTTCAGTGCCCTGGAGAACAGTGGGGTAAGGTTCTTATGGAGAATCCAAGGACTAAAACATTAGCAGTTAACAGAAAACACTCTGTCCAGGCATCATTTGTTGGTGGCCTCCAAATTACCTCGATCTTGTGATGCTTATGGAAAGGGCAGGCCATGGACAATGGTGTGGTAGAATGGACACAGCACTGGCCTGCAAGTCAGGAGACCCAGGTTCAAGTCTAGCTTTTCCACTAAACTGAGTGATTTTAGGCATTTCATTAATTTTTGTGCCTGAATTTCCTCATCTATAATCGGGAGAAAATAATCTATGCCTTGACAACATCAGATCTATTTCAAAGACCAAAAAAAAAAAATTAAGGATGGGAATGTTCCTTGAAGGAGTTATTGTTAATAGTGGTATTATGGTGGGGGGAGACTATTGCTTAATAGAGATTCATAGGATGTTAGAACTAGAAGAAACTTCGGAGATTCCAGGAAGAATGTTGGATTTGGAGCGAAAGAAACTGGCTTCAGATCTTGGCTCTGCCATTTGTATGACTTTAGGCAGTCGTGTAACCTTTGTGGGTCTCTAATTCCTCCCATGCAAAATGAGGGGATTAGGCTAGATGATCTCTCCCAGCTCTAATCTGTGATTCTGTGATCTGTCCGATGTCTCCTTTTACCTACGAGGAGACTGCAGCCAAGAGAAGGGAACTGGCTTGGCCAGGGACATACATACAGCAGATTAGCAAAGACAGTTGGACTGAGATGGAAGCCCAGGTATCCTGACTCTGGGTCTGAGGCTTTTCCCTTCCATTATACCATAAAGAGGACAATCCGGATTTGTCACTGACTCTAGGTTTGGAGACCCATCCTCCTCTGAGCCTCCATCCCTTCATCTTAAAAAATAAATGGTTAAACTAAGGTCCCTTCCAGCTTTAAATCTAGGATCCTGCCCTAAATTACAAAACAATCCAAAGCTAACGTACAAGATCTGAACCCACGAGAAACAGGCAAAGAGCCTTTGTCAGGGAGCATACTGAAAGAGCGAGGATGGAAAATGTTGAAAAATCAGTCTTCCCATTCCCTCGGTGCTGCACACTCCTTCTACTGCCCCAACATGCCAAGTGGCCTCAGTCTTAAAGATTTTGCCCCTGGCCTCCACGTCTGGCAGTCACTTGGAGCTGGGGCATCCTGAGGCGTGAGCTAATTGCAAGAGTGTGCTTGTAACAGGCCGTCACTGCCGCTGCAGCCGGTGCTTAAGGGAGATGAGAGGCCCCTTTTCTACAAGTCCGGAAAAAATATACATAAAGGTTGATGTGTTTTCAAATGGGTTTTTCTTTTGTTCCTCCCTTTTCCCCCGTGAGTATTAACCTCAGGGACACTGCGGAAGAGTACAGCTTGTTGGAGCACCTGCTGGGGTCACGCTTAGTCATTAGCTTTTCGGTCAGTGCAGAATAAACCCTGATTCTAGGCTGAAGTGGAGAGGGGGAGAGGAATGAGGGAGAGAGAAAGAAGAGGAGACAGAGACAGAGAGAAGGGGGGGGAGAGTATATGTGTTTGCATGTGTGCACACATATGCCTGTCCCTCTCTTCTGGAAAGTATGTACATGCCTCACTCCTTCCAAGTCACACTTTTTTCCTGCCTGACTAGCTCTTCCACAGCTATTCCATCTCCAGCTGTGGGGGCGTCAAAGAAGAAGATGAGATCAAGTTGAGGGGAAAAATTGTCTGATTTCTTTAGTCCATTGTTCCCAGGCCCCTAGAAAGTGGTGACGCACTGTGCAGTGATAGTGTGGGCCCACAGGGCCTGTTGGTCAGTGCCAGCCAGAGTGGGCTTGGGGTAAGAATTGAACTGTCTACTTCCTGCCTGTGGTCTGACTTGAGGGTCTCCTTATCCCAGAGGCTAACTTTAGGGCCAAAAGAGGGAAGGGAGGGAAGGGGAGCAGGGTATGTTCTGAGCCTGGGAAGTGTCAGGTAGCTCTGAGACCTTTGTCCATCCTCTGTGTTTCTCTTCTGTCCTTAGAGCCAAGCCCCTCCTGGCCTCTACACAAAGACCCAGGACCCTGCAAAGGCTCCCAACAGCCCAGATGTCTTAGAGATTCAGTTCAAGAGAGGTATGTCTCCAACTTTGACTCTACAAACCCTTCAGGCTTGATACATTCCAATCAACTCCTTTGCCATTCCTGAGGAAAACATTGCTTCTTCTCTCCCCTGGCTTTCTGAAAGTCATAGTTCAGGAGAGGTCTTTCACGGAAAATTGTTTTTCCCCATGTCTGTTTTACTTGACATTTGAAGTCATATATGTTATAAAGGAGAGAAGCAATTTCCTCAGCTGCTTCCTGCGAGCCCAAACCAAACTGAACTCTTCCCTGCTGTGCTTCTAACCAGTCTTCACTAATTAGTACGGCATAATTTTAAAGGACCGGTTCCCTCTTTAGTCAATCAACAAACGCTTCTTCCTTCCTGACGTGCCGGCTGAATCCCAGCAACACAAATGGCTTGAGAGCCACCAGAGGCAGGCATTATCCCCAAAACAACTGGTGTTGTTTTGTGTTGGGGGTGCAGGGCCATAAGAAACACAGTCCTTGCACTTGAGGAGAGAGAGAACAAAAATGTAAAAAAGATAAGTAGGAACAAGGTAGTGTGTGATAAAGGCCCAAAGAATAATACGGAGGGTAGCTCTACAGGAGTTTGGAGGAGAGAGGCATTACTGACTTAGGGAAAGTGGTACTTGAACTTCCTGTTGAATTGGTAAGTGGGACTTAAATTAATAGAGAGGAGAGAGAAAGGCATCCAAGGAAGTTTCTTGAGCAAAGGCTCAGGGGTGGAAATTTTAGTGGCAGATCTGAGGGCACATAAATAGTCCACTTTGGCTAGAATGTAGGTCTTCCTTCACTAAGGGAGAAGGTCAGAGGGTAGGCTAGGTTCAAGTTATAAATGACTTTGAATGCTTAGCCCCAGCCTATTCCTTCTCTTTTGGACAGTAGAAAATCCTTGAAAGTTTTTGAGTATGGGAGAGATTTGATCAAAGACTCAAAGACCTGGAATTAAATCCTGTTTCTGACACTAGCTATGTGACCATGGACAAATCACTTAACCTCAGTTTCCTCATCTGTAAAAATTAAAGGGTTGGACTAGCAGCCCTTAAGGTCCTGTAAGTCCCTTCTGCCTGTGTGTCTTAGGACTGTGTTTTGTATTGGAGCAGGAAAAAAATCTAAAACTGGGAAGAATAGTGATTCAGTAATCCAGGAGAGAGTTGATAAAGGCAGTTCTTGCTCTGGCCTTCAGTTCACTGGACTCTCAAGACCATCAGTCCTTTTCCAGTAAGGGTGAGAAGGGATAGGCATGGCACAGCGAAAATAGTGCCAATAATATGTAAAGTGATTTGCAAACCCTCAAACACTTTATAAATATTAGCTATTAATGATTATTCTGAGTCAGAAGATGTGGCTTGAAATTCTGGCTCTACTACTTAACTACCTGTGTAATCTTGGACAAGTCACACATCCCTCTCTCTAGGACTCAGTTTGCTCATCTGTGAAATGAAGGAATTAGACTAAATAAACTCTAGTGGACTTTCCAGGTCTCTTCCTATGATCTTATAATCCTCTGAGGAAAAGTGGGAAGTGATCCTTCTTTGGGGTAATAGTCCCTTTCCCATGTTAGCTTCTCCTTTACATCTTCTTCCAGAGCCAGGGATTGTTGGTTCAGACTTTGGCCTGAAGTGTGCCTTCAGAGGGAGTAGAGATTTGGGCATCTAAGTCCACCCTCACTCCCTTCACCTGCTTTCAACCCTTTAATCATAGGTAATTCTGGGGCCAAGGGGACTTGGCCGTTGTTAACCTCACTAATCACCTAAACCTTGATCACTGTGGAGCCAGGATTCTTTTTTTCTCCAGTCCTAAATTTGATAGTGGCTCTGTGCTCTGGTCCCAGGACAAGTGGAAAGTCAGCAGGAAGAGATGGGCCTTGAATTTTCCCCTTCAGGCTTCTAAAAATGGGCTTGACCCTGTTCCTTGACCTCAGGCTGGACATTCTAGATCTCATAATCAGTTGCTTTGGGGCCTGATTCTCACCTAGGTCATAAACTTCTAGATTTAGAGCTGAAAGAGATATTAGAAGTCACCTATTCCAGCACCCTCACTTTACAGATGAGGAAAATGAGGCCCAGAGAAGGAAATGACTTGTTCAATGTCCCACAAAGCTGGAGGACTGAGATTTGGACCCATGCTTTCTGACTCCAAATCTAGCACCCCTTTCTCTACTCCAAGCTTCATCTCTCTTTGTCTCTACTGTTTTCTCTCTTATATTGAGATGCTCAGTATAGGGGGCTAGCTCCGTTGACTAAATCCTTAGCTTAAAATGGATCTTTATGATCCAGGCAAGCATTTACATGCTTAACATGCTGGAGAGACCCGAGATCACAGCATTCTTACTAAGAAGTTAGGCGACCTAAAAGAGCGAGAGAAAAAAGTCCTGAGCCCAGGTTCAGCTACAAGTATGGCAATTTGGCCAGTGTGTCTTAGAGCATGGACTCGAGATAGAGGAGAGAAAGACAGAGAGACAGAGACAGAGAGGAGAGAGGAGACTCAATCCATTTTAATGGCTTTGGGAGCGTCTGGAAAAAAAATAAAGGGGGGAAAAAGCCCCTCCCTCTGCTATTCCCCATTCATCCCCTAGTTAATTTATTTGAAGTTTTAATCTAATTATTAACTATTTTAAAGGATAAGCTGCTTTCTCCAACAGCAGCCCCAACAATGTCTCTTCTCCACCGGGTGGACCCCATCCAATGCCCTGGCTAAGGATGATAATAGAAAAGGAGAGGCAGAGAAAGGGGATGGAGGGAGGCGGGGGTGCGGTGAGGAGGGCTTAAGGTTCATTATTGGCCAGACTTACATTTAATAGCAATTTACAACCGAGTTATAAAACCCCTGGAAATGGGGGTTAAGAATGGCGATGCTGACAGACCCTTCAGTGTCGCCACGCTAGCAGGCGCCTCAGTAATAAAGACTCCAAAGAAGGCTATTGAGGCCTGATTGGCAACTGATAGCTCGCTACATGGTAATGAGACGGGCAGATGGAAGGGAGATTAGGCTCCAACTTTGAACGGCTTTTCTTTGTCACAGCTACAGCCCTCTTGTTAGTCTCCTAATACATTTATTGCTCACTTCACACTGCTCGAGAAAATGCCCCTTTTCTATTCAAAGTCAACCCCTAACCCACCCACCCACACCCCCCTCCACTGCCCCTCTCCACACACCCCCAACCCTCTGCTGCTACCACCCCCACTGCCTGTCTTCCCTCCCTCCCTCCCTCCTAGCTCCCCGCACTTTTTAGAGGCCATTATAATTAATTCATGGGAGACCCTGCTATTCCAGCCAGTTCTGCCCTGCCATTGGCCAGTGGGGGAGCCATTCCATGCCCATCAGGCTGATAACTGGGACCCTGTGTGGGGTGTGGGCAGGGGGAGGGGATCAGATCATTGGTCCAACAGACATTGCAGGGGGCTCTGTGTGTGTGTGTGTGTGTGTGTGTGTGTGTGTGTGTGTGTGTGTGTGTGCTCGGCCATACCTCCGTAGCGGTCCAGCCCCCCACTAACTGGTGGGACAGAAGGTGCTCTGGTGGTAAGACAATGGTGGAGCGTGAAATTCAATTAGTTCAGGGCCTGGTTGCAATTTCACAGCCCCTAAATGCAAAAGGGAAAAAAAGAATGGGGGGGGTGGAGAGTTTTTATTACATTTTCTCTTTCATTCCAGGGGCTTTCCAGCCCCTCTTTTCCCCCAGCGGCCACAACCTGCACATGGCTTTTTAAGAAGTTATTTGGAGTCCATATCTGTCACATCCATTTAAGGCGTTGCTGATGACCAGGAGAGGGACATTGTGGCGAGGTCGGATGGCCAGCCCCCTTTGCCTGTTCTCTCCGCTTCCTTCTCGGCCACTCCAGCTCTTTACCATCTGTACCTTTTACGCCCCCAGGTGTTCCCGTGCAGGTGACCAATGTCAAAGATGGCACATCCCACCATACATCCCTGGAGCTCTTTCTCTACCTGAATGAAATTGCGTAAGTGCTGCTAGCTGACCTTTCGCTTCTCCCCAGATCATGTTCCTTTCTTCCCTCTCACTCTCAAGAGATCTCAGGAAACAAATTCCATCCCTTTGGGCCCCTGGTGAGTGAATGAGAAACTCTTAGGAAGGAAAGTTTAGACCAGGAGTGGGGAACCTGCGGCCTCAAGGCCACATATGGCCTCTAGGTCCTCAAGTGTGGCCTTTTGGCTGAGTCCAAGTTTTACAGAACAAATCCTTTTATGAAGGGGAATACTCACTCACCAAGCCCAGGACTAGAACTCAAGGCTGAACTGCCCATTCTATATACCCCCACACAGCTTCATTCTCTCCAACACTACTGTCCTGCACAGAGCAGTAAAATCCCTTCCCTTGAATTCCCCTTTTAGAAAGGTGAGAGGACACTGGACAATGCTCCTAATCCATGGAGGTACTGCTGGCATCAGCTTGACAGTCCGCAATATTACCTCTTGTCTTGATACTGTATTAATAGGGCTCTTGTCCTCTGACACAATGGAGAACATGCATGCTCATTTTGCTGGTATTGGCTTTTTTGAAAGATATACTAAGGTGAAAGTTAGCAATCTCTATGTGGCCTTAAGTAGTCAAAGCTGCCTTGCATACACCCTGCCCTGATCGGTTCTGAACCCCAGGGATGATAACTAGAGATGGGAGTTTGCCCTTCATTGATCAGTACTTCTGATACAGCTAAAGGAACCATCATGAAGTGAGTGGATGGTGGGGTTTAAATGGTTTAAATAGGGTGTTCTGGGCAAAGGACCACATGCAGAGGAGACTTGGCTAGAGGTTAGGTCAGCCTAGGCTGTATGTACCCTGCAGAGTATTTTCTCTACTATAAGATCAAGTACCAGGCATATTCCCAGGGCCAAGGGTGATTTATGCAAATCCAGGGACTCTATGATGATTCCCACTCTGAGCCTATTACCACAACACCTCTCCGGCTTAACAGCACCCTGACATCTTCTGGGGAAATGGGTTGGAACTACCAAATTACCAAATCTTGGACAGAGCCAATCAATTCAATGGAATAGACTCAACCAACATTTCTTAAGCAACTACCAACTGAGTATGAAACTAGTAACTGGGAGAGAACAGCCCTTACGTAAGATGATACCATCCAAGTTCTTTCTCTGTATCTTGGGTCCTTGTATCATTGTCTTCTGAGGAAAGGCTGGTGGAGGGATGAAAGGCTGGGCATGCTAGGCCTCAAGTGCATTATTTTCCTCAGTCCTGGCAAGACATTATAGTTAGTGAAAAGAGCCGTTTGACCTGGGTCCTGGTCCCACATTTGCCGCTAATACTGCGTGGTCTTTAACAAGACTTTTTCTTCACCTACTCAGATGACAGAGCTCGGAGACGTGAAGAATATATTTCATAGTTGCTGTAAGGCTCAAATGGGATAGTGTCAGTAAAGTGCTTTGTAAACTTTACTATGTAGATGTCAGTTGATGTTATTGTTATTCTTATCAATAGATGAAAATTACAGGTAAATATGACCTTACCCATTAGAGCTACCCAAAAGAGAATGGGATGCCACAGGAAGTAGTAAGTCCACCATCAGCAGAGATCTTCCAAAGGAACCTCTTGCAGGGGCTGTTGAAGAGGATGGTATAATTTAGGGATGAGCTGGACTAGATAATCTCTGTGATCTCTTCCAATTCTGTGATTCTGTAATTCTATGATATTATTTCCCTCCCTTCTCTGTGCCTCAGTTTTCTCATTTGGAAAAGGAAGGATTTTGCTTAGATTAAACTCGAGATTTTCTTCCAACTCCATGATTCAATAACTTCATTTTATCAGCCTGTACTACCAAGAGAAGGGCAGGAATGGGTACCAGTAATCTTCTTTGTGAAAATCACGTAGTAAGCACATAATAAGCAATTAATAAACGTGTTTTCCTTCCTTCATTCATGTGCCCTGACAGAATAATTCATCCTGGCACCACAAGTCCCAACCGGCCCTGAGATTACTGGGGCCAGGGGAGGCAAGAACATCCCAAAACAGTGATGGATTTGAGAAGCATGGTTAGGTTCCCCTGCTCCTTTGTGAAAGCTGGGGCTACTCTCTTTCATGGGGAGCCTGTCCACCCAATTCCTGACCTCTTCTCCCCTGCTTCTTCCCCAACAGGGGTAAACATGGGGTTGGCCGAATTGACATCGTGGAGAACCGCTTCATTGGGATGAAGTCCAGAGGTAAGCTTGCCTCCAGAATGCCTTCAGAGGGCATGCTCTGGGTGGCTTCAGCTTCCTAGAGACCCCTGCACCTTGACATAGCACACAGAGCCCAGATGTTCAAAGGGAAGATAGTGGCCTATCTTATCCCATGGGATGGAGGAAATTGGGACACTGCAGCATAGAACATCTACTGTAAAACCCTGGATATAGGCCTCTCAGGAGGCCCATTGTGCTAAAACTGAGGTTCTTTGTGATTTTTTTGAGAGGTAGGTTATTATTATTGTGAATAGGGATAAGGACTGGACCTCTGATTTCAATGGGATAGGAAACTCCCAAGTGAGAAAATGCCCTCTACTAATGCAGGTTGGTACCTTCTCTCTAATTTTATAGTCTTAGAAAGTTGTCAAAGTGTTGAGTTCAGTGACTTGCTGAGGCTCACAGCCAAGTATATGTCAGCAGCAGGGCTCAAACCTCTGTCTTCATGCCTTCAAGCCCTACTCTCTCTGTCCACTACATTGTAATGTCTCTCACATTATTATGAATGATAACCAGAAAATTGTAGCCATGGTTATGTATCACCACTAGGTCAGGAGAGCCAAACAATCTGATCACAAAGGCATAATTGATAAGAGGAGAATCCCTACACACTCCTATATCAGTACAGGTTGCAACTTTTCTGAGCCTCAGTTTTCTTATCTCTAAAATGGGGGTCATAGGAAAATGGGGGTCACAGGGTTGTTGTGACACTCAAATTTGATCATATGATGTAAAGCACTTTGCAAAACTTAAAGCATTCACTACATGTTTGAGTGGTGGTGATGGTGATGATGATGATGATGATGATGCCAGGAAGTGGTAGCCATTCTCAATTGGCTCATATCATGCTAAAGATCTTTAAATCAACCAGTGGGAGAAGTCTAGAAGGCCAGCAGCTGGGCAGAACTAGAGAAAAAAAGTAGTCTCTGACCTGAAAGAGCTTACCCTCTGTTGGAGGGAAACCACTTGCACATAAATAAATGAATGAATGAATAGATAAATGAATGAATTAATAAATAAATATGCAAAATAATTTTGCAAGGACAGGGAAAACTAACAACTAGGGAAATAGAGGACACTTCCCTTAGGAGGTGACACTTGAGCTAAGCCTGTCTACACGTTCTAAGAGCTGGAGGTGAATGGGGGGAGAGCACCCCAGGAACAAGAGACAGCCTGAACAAAGGCAAGGGAGCCATAGATGGAATGACGTGGTCGGATACCAGCAAGGAGACCATGCTAGAACGTGGAGCAAACAACAGGGAGTCATGTACAAGAAGGCTAGGAACATATAGTGGAACCAGATGGTGAAAAGTTTTAAATAGTAAACAAAGGAATTGATATTTTACCCCAGAGGCCATAGGGAAGCATGTTTATGGTAGCAGCAATTTGGGTATGCAGGATTCCTGACCAGAGTGCTAGACTGGTCATCATTCACATGATTCGAGTGACCCAGGCCTAAGGTAATACAGCTTTGGAACAGGACTTCCCTCCCTAGGCTGGGTAGTGAGCAGCCCCACTTCCTTGGCCAAAGCCAAGATTTTTCACATAGGCCTTGCTTAGACTGTATTCTCACAGAGCTCCAAGGAGATGACAGGGTGGAGCCAGGTGTTCTGGCTAGAGGATCGAAGCCTGTGTGGTCAGCCTCTCCTCTGTCCTCTCAGGGGCCCGACTCCCATTTGGGGCGGGAGCGAGCAGGCCCTTTTCATGTCTCCATGAAAAGACGGAAAGAGGCGATTTCTTGGTCATTAAAGGTTTCATTCAGATGGCTAATTCACAGCCCCTTTTGAGAGTCTCGAATACTAATCGGACCAGGGGTTGGCGCTGTCAGTTTGTATGGAGCTGCCTTGTGGGGAAGGCGAAGGGGAGCCAGGGCTTGTTCTTAGAGAAACACAGAGCTATGAGGAACAGTGTTTCCCAGGGACAGAAAAAACTTGTCTCCACATCTTGCCTTCTCATAATTGCCTCCTTGGGCCAGCTCCATGGCCTCGCTAGTTTAGGTCTGTCTCTGATGAAGGCATGGAGGGATAATATATAGGGAACCATGAATTAGTGAAAACACCTCCAGCACCTCTTAGTGAATTTCATTATGATTCTGCCATCTTCCTAAGCCCTTCCTAAACCTCTTATATTTTTATCCTGCATCCATTCATTGTGTGGTCTTGGGCAAATTACTTAACCTTTCTGGGCCTCAGTTTTCCCATTTGTAAAAGCATCATTGAGTTCCCTTCCAGATCTAAGACTCTAGGATGCTGAGACTCTGTGCCATCTTTGAGTCTGTCTGAAAAGGAACAGGTTCCTAGCAGAGATTCCTGCCCATCAGTATACCCTTCCCTTGCTAGCCCTCTGCATCTAAGACCCCTCCATTTCTGAGGATGAGAATGGCAAAATATACAGAGTTGAAATTAGGGTCTAAGCAAAATGTCTAGGGGGTAATTGTACTTCTGGCTCCCTCTGCTCAGTCTAAAGAGATGACAGCACCCACCCAGTGTCCTTTCCCATGCAGAGACTGTGGCTGCCTTTCCTAAGCTTCTAGGATATGTGAGAGGAAGAGGAATCACAGAATCATAAAATCTCAAAGCTGAAGAGGAATTCTGTGGCCCTTTAGTCCGGCTAGACTTGAATAGAAGCCTCCCTACAATATCCCTGTCCAATGATTGCCTGACCTTTGCTTGAAGACCTGCAGGAAAAGAGGATGCACCACTTCCCAAGGCAGCCCATTTGACTGCTGGGCCATTCTTTCAGGATATTTTTTCTTGTATTAAGCCTAAACTTCTGCCCGCTGTTCCTGGTTCTTTTTGGAGCCAAGCAGAATAAGCCCAGTCCCTTTTCAGCCCTTTTGGCATTTGAAGACCATTGTCCTGTCCCTCCAGATCTTCACAGGGCTTCACATACCTTTGAAAAAATCCTCACACATCATGGTCTCTAGGCCTATCTTCATTCATTTATTCAACAAGTGTTTATTAAACATCCACTCTGTGTTAAGCACTGTGCAAGTTACTGCAGTTACAAAGACAGGGAGCTTATCTTCAATTGGATGTTCTCTGTTCTCACTGGGCTCTGGAGGAGGGGTGTTGGTGACACTGGCTCTGAAAACTTCAGATGCCAATTGTCTGAGTTAAAGCCATTGTTCGTAGCAGGGCTGTAAATACAGAAAATGCAGCTGGAGGTGGGGTTGTTTGGGAAGGGCTTAGAACACTAGTAGACCTGGCGTTATCCCACTCCTGCCACAGAGAACAGATAGAAGTGGCTCCCTCGGGTCTCTGGGCCTCCCCATCCCTTTGTTGGGCCTTCAGGGGCTACTTCCTTCTGACAGGCAGGCAGAAGCAGCCCAGCCAATAATAGCTAGCCTGATAGATAGTGCTTTCGGGTTTGCCCAACACTTGACATACGCTATGCCATTTGACTTGATCACACCCCACCTTCCCCTGCCTCTGGAGTCCTGGTGCAGTATCCCAACAATTGATTGCTATGACACTGCCGTGGGTGGTTCAGAATGAATTTCAGCTCACTTTCAGTCAGTTGTTCGGTAAACATTTATTAAGCACCGACTGTATGCGAGGCGTTGGGCTTAGCACTGGGTCTATAAGAAGAGTAAAAGACAATCCCTGCTCCCAAGAAGCTCACAGTCTAGATGAAGAGATGACATGCAAATGGCTCTGTGATCTCCCCACCATTCTTCCAGCTGCTCCTCAAAACAAACCTTGTGGGATGGACCAGGCAGGGACTGTTAGCCCCATTTTACAGGTAGAGAAAACTGAGGCGTCTGTAGAAGGTTAAGTGCCTCATCCTTGGTCACACAGCAACTTAATGTCTAAGCCAAGGAATGAACTTGAGTCTTCCTACTCACCTTATGTACCTAGAGTTGCTAGGGACCTCAGAAATCATCTAGTTGATACTTGACCCTGACCCTTAGGATTTATTCAGAATTGAGAGAAGGATACTGGAATGGGAACTAGGAAAGTAGTGCCTTCTCCCTTCTGCCCCGTCCCTACCTCCCCCAGCTAGAGCCAGCAGGCTCCAACAGCCCAGAACCTAGGCACTCTTAGGGTGAAAAATAAAAAAAAAATTGAAACCCTGCAAATCATTAGCAGAGTTGCTTATTTGAGCTTCAATGATGCATGAGGGTAATAGTAGGTGGCAAGAATCAAGGAGATAATATTGTGTCCTAATGGAGAGAGGAGTAGCATTAGCAAGGGTGTTAGGTTCCTTCTGAGAGGTCTCATTGGGATGGAGTGCCCTAAGCAGACCATCCTGACTTCTGTAGCAGTTCCTCTCTGCCTCCTCAAACAGTTTCAGCAGATACCTCCCCCTGCCTAAAATTTTTCTCAAGCAGTAGATCTCAAAATATGATCTCATGACCCTGTTGTTGTTCAATCGTTTTTCAGTCATGTATGACTCTTCGTGACCCCTTGGGGTTTTCTTGGCAGAGATACTCAAGTGGCTTGCCTTTTCCTCCTCCAGCTCATTTTATGTATGAGGAAACTGAGGCAAACAGGGTTAAATGACTTGCCCAGGGTCACACAGCTAGTAGGTGTCTCAGGCCATATTTGAACTCATCTTCCTGACTCCAGGCCTGGTGCTCTATCCACTGTGCCACCTAACTGCCCGAGGAGTCCCCAAGACCCTTTTAGAGGGTCTTCAAGGTCAAAACCATTTTCATAATAATACTGAGATGTTTTTGTTTCTAATAACAGTAAATGTCAATAAATATAACACAAATAAACAAAAGCTCTTTGAAAGGGGGTCCTCAATAATTTTAAGGAGGTTAAAGGGGTGCTGAGACCAAATATTTGAGAACCACCTGCTTAGTGTATACTTTGCATCTCTCCTTTATCCCATCTTATAATAAGATAATAACTTAATTATATTATATTATATCATATATGGTTATATATGATATAATATATATGATTGTAAGATAATAAGAGCTATGGTAGGAACTCTCAGTCTTGACCTCATTAGTACTCTTCTTCAGCCACTGA